CTTCGAGTGTTGGTCCGAAATGGGCAGACTGCGGGGCCACCACGGGGCAACTCGAGGGCTGGTTTTACTCGTAGGCTGACCTATCCGGTGTGCCCTGAGAACGAGATATGTGCAGCTCCTATCGGGATTTGGCGGCACATCGGGAGGCTTTGTTGGTCTTGTTTTACCATTGTCGAAATTTCTTGTAAACCGGGATTCCTACTCTGATCGGGTCTTCCTGGGAGAAGGTATATCCTTCGTTGATCGCGAGAGCTTATCATGGGATAAGTTAGGACACCCCTGCAGGGTATAAAACTTTCGAAAGCCGTGCCCGCGGTATGGGGAGATGAGAATTTGTTAATGTCCGGTTGTAGATAACTTGACACCAGATCCGAATTAAAATGTATCAACCGTGTGTGTAGCCGTGATGGTCTCTTTTCGGCGGAGTCTAGGAAGTGAACATGGTTTTGGGTTATGTTTGACGTAAGTAGGAGTTCGGGATCACTTCTTGATCATTGCTAGCTTCACGACCGTTCCGTTTGCTCTCTTCTCTCTCTTATTTGCGTATGTTAGCCACCATATATGCTTAGTCGCTGCTGCAACCTCACCATTTTACCCTTTCCTTTCCCATTAAGTTTTGCTAGTCTTGATACCCATGGTAATGGGATTTTGGAGTCCTCGTGGCTCACAGATTACTACAACAACAGTTGCAGGTACAGGTTTTGCGATGATCATGACACGAGAGCGATGTTTGCTTGTCTTGGAGTTCTTCTTATGTTTCTTCTTCGATCCGGGGATAGGTTCCAGGTCGGCAGTCTGGGCTAGCAGGGTGGATGTCGTTTGAGTTTCTGTTTGTGTTTCATCCGTAGTCGGATGTTGATCTTATGTATGATGATGTTGTATTCGTGTGGCATTGTATGCCTCTTGTATGTATTCCCATTTATTATGTAATGTTGATGTAATGATATTCACCTTGCAAAAGCGTTTCAATATGCGGTTCTATTTTTGGTGGGACCTTCAAGTCTCTTTAGGATAGTATCTCATATTGGGCGTGACACTACTGTACTTCGAGAATGAAGCTCTACTATAAGTCATTCTCGGAGAAGCCGGTCAACCTGGAGTCGGAGAAGATGGAATCCCCCCCCCCACCCCACCCCAACTCCCCCCCATGTTGGAGTGGACGACATCGTATTCAATGGCCGTCGGCGGACTCAATGGCATCGGGTCATCGCTCTCCTCCGACTCGTTGACTTTATTTCCTTGCTGGTCAGAAAAGTTAAGGCAGGCCATCATCGGGCGGATGTCCTCGACTTTCCGCTCGTCCTTGATTGACTAGTACACTGCATGGTCTCAAAGAGGAGCTGCAGGTTCGTCCGAACGAACGCAGCCAAGTAGTCCTCACTGGTGTGCTTGGACATGATCTTTGCATGGGCTACGACCTAACATGTAACAATTCATTAAGAAAAAATGTGTCACAAAGGAAATATAACCTAGCCGCAGACCATGGCTGCGATGGCCAAATGAAGCTCTATAGAGTCGAATCAAGTACAAAAGAGGAAGAAGAGCTGGCAAATTGTATTATGTATCAGTCTCCATGATTGGGGATGTATTGATATTGCAAGCTGAGAATTTGTGACTGCTGTGAAAGGAGGATTTATGTATCCAAAGCTGCTGCTCTTGCCTATTTGTTCTATTTTACTGGTAGTTTCTTGGTTGCTTCCTTATAGTATTTCTGTGCGTATACTGTTTGGGGCGTAGAGAAAAATTATAGTACAACTAGTGTGATGTCAGTCAGATTAAATTGCTGACTTGATGCCTTCCATAATTTTATATACTGGGTGTGCTGCAGGTGCAGAATTAAATAGCATGAATAGCTAGTAATCTGTACAGTAGACCAAAAGTGATTACATGTGCAGAAATAAAGAACAGTTCAATCATAGCATGAAGCAGCCTTGAACTGAACCAGTAGAACTACCCTATTTAGCTTGGCATACACCAGACAAGAAGCGAAGTTACAATCATCTACTTGAAAACGGATCTTGGGGAAGTCAGCCTGTGCTCCATGCTGGGCCAGAAAGGCACTAGCGGAAGAGAGAGACGTCGGTGCCTGCTTCAGGCGTAAATTTCCTAATAATCTGACTGGTGTTATTTTCTACTTTGTAGCTTAATTAACTCTTGGGCTTTTCTCTAGGAGCATCAAAGCAGAAGGAAATTTGAAGAAGGGGCCAACATGATCAAAGCTATGATTTAGGAAGTTTATGCTAGAAGTCAGGAATGGGCATCTTTGATGAGAATAATTGATGGCTAATTTTGTGGATCCTTGATGACTTTATCTTCGCTGCGGACTGGGGCGGCGATGCCGGCGCTTCTTCCCGCCCTCATTTATGACGATGCCGGCGCAGCGGTGTCTCCGCGGCAGGCTCGGCTTTGATGCCGAACACCGCCGGTGAGCCGGAGGAGTGGGAGGAGGAAGTTGAGGAGGAGCCGAACCTCCTGGGCATCCATTGCCCGGCGCGCCGGCGGTGGACCGGGGCGGCCGCCACGGCAGGGTATGCCAGCGGCGGGTCGTTGCCGCCCTCGAGTTGCTACAGCACGTCCTGGAGTGTGCGGCTGGAGGCGCCCCACTGTTGGCCGCCGCCGCGTCGCCGGGGAATCGCGCAGCCATC